TATACATTTGACATTATGTATTATACATTGTACATTATACATTATACATTATATATGGTATACAAGTATAATGTATGTAACATATATATGTTATACATTATACATAATATGTTATTATCTATAATCATATGTTAATACATAATATATATGTTGTATATGTGGAGTATATCATTTGGTGTTTTGATTGATTATAATAAATCATTTTAAATTTTTTTTTTTTTTTTTTTTTTGGTCCCTCATTGAATCATTATTTCATTTCTATTGTAATATATTATCAATTTAGAATGATGGTCATTATGTTTAATATGTACATTATATATTTAATTTCTTTGTGGATGTATGGTCTTCATGTTTAATATATACATTATAGATTTAATTTCTTTTTGGATTGTATATTATAATTTAGAGAAAATGGTAATAAGGACACAAAACCCCCAAACAGGCTTTATTTGAGGATTCCCCGAATGAGCTGCAAGCCGGGATTAGGGAATGCCCTTGGGCTTTCGGGTTCGGGTCGGGGCTACTCCGTGCCCATCCCTACCTTAGGGGGTGTTATTTAAAGATTATCGGGATAATCTTAATTTTATGTCCTTAATTAAATACCATTCCAGACACAATTGCCCTAAATGTCTACCAAATAACAATCGACCCAAACCTGTTACATTTGAGAAGTTAGATAAAACACTCCATCCAGAAAAATATTACAAGTTAACAAAATATCCCCAACCACCAAAGACCATTGTCGGCCACCGGCAATAGTCACCAAATTGACGGATGACCGGTGGCATCTGACTAGCCTTGCGTTGATTTGGTTGTTCTCGACCAAATCAAAGGTTGAAAATGGCCAAATTGTCGTTAATTTGACCGAAAACGACTAGAATAGATCTAGCCGTTTATGACCATTTCTGACTAGATCCATGGCGATCTGGCTGTTTTCGACCTTCGATCTGGCCGAAAATCACCAAATCGATGTGGTTCTGGTTGAAAATAGTCAGATCATTATGGATCTGGCTGTTTTCTAGATCCATAGTGATCTGGTTGTTTTCGACCTTCGATCTGACCAAAAACAGCTAAAATAGTGCACAACTAGCCAGATCTCACTGATCGTACGCCGTTTTGGTGACTGACACCAGTGGCGGGCAGTGGTCTTGGGTGGTTGGGGGTATTTGTTAAAATTTAAACTTGTTGTTAGGGTGTTTTAGCTAAATTTTCAAATATAGGGGGTTAACAGTAATTTACTTAAATAATAATAATATTATTATATTATAAAGGAAGGGCAATTCAGTAAAAGCCTCTGTCAATAATATTTTATTCCTCTCAACCAAACATCTTAATTATTTATACCTACTAATCTAATCAAACATATTGGTATAACATTCCCCCGTAATCTTCAAAGTGATTTATCTCAATGGTAATCCTACCTTTACAGTAATAAAACATTCTCCGAACCAAACGCACCATAATCGTAGTCAAAACCGGCAAAGTGACTAGGTCGTTGGTTGACATTAGCAAATTTTTTTTGAAAAAATTAACTTAGTCCCTAATATTTTAATATATTACAAGCATACCCTTAAAAATTTGCAAACCAGCCCCAAAATTTTAATTTACTACAAAAAAGTCCACAAAATTACAATGTAATCCCTAAAATTTTGAAGTATTATAAAGTACCCCTAAAAATTTACTGATTAGTCCCTATATGTTTAAAATCTAGCAAAAACCCCTGTAGAACCTGAACCAAATCGGAGAGGTTGACGGCTCCTAATCCAAATTTCAAAACATTGGTTAGAAGTTGTGTTGGTCAAAGGGGTTATCTGATTTGATTTTCTAAATTACTTATAAACTAGTATATTCACGAATGATGGTAAAATGGTATTTGTGTATAATATTATACACATCTGTTAATTTTTACTAATGTATGTCAAACGTTTGGGTGTACTTGTTACTTTCCGAAAGATTTGGGTGTGTACGTAGTTAGGGAAAACTACATAATTTTCTAACCCGTTTGCTTTGTATATGGAAAGTAAAACGAGTAAATATTGAACAACTTGTATTTAATAACCAGGCAGTCATTCAAAATGCAAATGAATGTTTAACTTTTAATTAACTTCTCGGCCTATAAGATTGATCAAATTAAGAATTTTAGGGGCTAGCCGTTTACATAAATAACCAAAGTAATTTGCTACTTGTTGAATAATATTCACATGGCAAAAGCTTTATTTGGTGAGCCTTGTTGTGCTTTAATTTCACATTTACACATGGACAGAGAAAACGGTGAATAATTAAGAACAACTGTTTGTAAAAAGAACCATCAATTATTCCAAATTATTATGATTTGAGATTTCAAGTTCGTATAAATTATGCTTCAAGCATGATAGATAAAAAAGGCAAAGGGACAGATTGAACTTTCCACTTTCCTATACTCAATTCCACGCATTCATCTAACCTTCAGATGCTTCGAACACAAACCTGTCCGAATTGATATCGCGACAAGGCAAGGGTAACTAGGGTGTATGAAAGGAGAAATAAGGTAGAAAGTGGTGGATAAAAGTTTAAAAGAAGTTTCCCATAAGCAGCAGGCGGGGGTTTAATGCATGGACAACAAGGGAGAGTTTGTTACACGACTGGGAGTAGCTGGAGAATAAAATAATGCATGAGAGAATTTACGTACGAAGAGAACGAGCTAGCCCTCGAAGCCTAGTCTAATCTTCTACTGTGTATTGGTTTCTCTCTTGTTTTTGGCTGCCATTTTTGCTATTCTTCTGCTGTTTTCTTGTTTCATTGATTATTGGAAGAGGAACCTATCAATTTGGTGTCAGAGCTTTCTAATTGTGGGATGGTTGGTAAAATAAAAATCTTACTTTCAAGAACAAAACTAAAAAAAGATTCTCATATAAAAATTTAAATATTGTCCTTTATTTGTTTATTTTTTTATTAAAAATTATTTTATAATTTTGTAGATTAAAAAGTTTTATTTTATTATTCTTAAAAAGTGCAAAATGACAAGTATACCCTTATATTTAGTATTTAATTTTTTCTAATTATACAGGGACTATAATGGCAGTTTCAGATTTTACTGGACCAAAGTATTTTCTTCAAACCTCAGGGATGAAAATATGTTTAACTCCCACATACAGGTACTTTCAGTAGGAATGACACTATCTTTTTTTTTTTTTTTTTTTTAACAGAAATTATTTCATATTCAGTGAATTAAATTATAGTTTGAGTTAAATGTTTTTTTTCTAAGAATCTTGAATAGAGAAAATGATTTAATTCAACTACCTCTAGGTGGCTGAATAGTTTAATAGGACTTTGGGTATATTACTTAAAAGATCCTAAGTTCAAATCCTATGGGTTGTTAATAAGGGTAGTCATTGCAGTTTACCCAGCCAGTAGTTCTAGGATCTCGAAGGATTAGTTGATTATCGGTTGCTAATAGGATAGTCATTGGAGCTCTACTCAACTAATAGTTTCAAGGTCTAAGGAATTAGTTAAGATGCGTATAAGCTGACCTAAACACCCGGATCATTAAAAAAAAATGATCTAATTCACATTTACCTATATATATATATATATATATATATTGATCTATTCAAAACTTATAATAACTGTAATACCGGAGGGATTTCTATATTAACACATCATATTTTGATTAATGTTTAGCTACATTGATATTTTGGAGAAGATTTTAAATTTTTTTTTTTTTCTTTTGAATAAATATTAAATGAACAAACTCTTATACACAAACTATAACAATAAAATTGAAGGATAAGTTCATATAAAATTCAACTCAATAAATAGGACAAATGTTACATTATATTATTTACAAAACTATGAAATGGCTTTTCAAACTTGGAGCCTAATCACTCTATATTAATTGCTACATATGTAATCTCTTTGTCATTAGCTTTACATTGTCAAACTAGTAATAGCAGAAGAAACCCCACCAATTTGGCATGAGGTTTTTTCACACAGTGTTAACATAAACATTGATTCATGTAAGTGGGCATTAGGTAAAATAGTTGAATAAATTTCTTGAACATTCATGAACAAGGCAAGGTTGATTGGGGGGAATTTTCTTATGTGGAATTTACTTAAATGTTGTACAATCATGGCCTTCGACTATTTCCTCATCCCTGAGATATACGTCAAGAGTTGCATGTTGCTACTAATGCCACTTTTATCTTTAATTGAATTCTTCAATAATAATTTATTAAACCACTCTTGGGTGATTAAGTGATTGGATAAAGACTTTTAGGTATATTACTTTAGAGTTCTTGAATTTGAATCACCTCAGTTACTAATAAGGATGATCACTGCAAGATATGTTTGAATCACCTCGATCCCTAATAGGGATGGCCAATGAAGAGCATATTAGGTCGTTAACTTTAGGGCATCGATGATAGATGGATAATTGAGCATTAATTTTAATATTGTAATAAAACCTTCCACAATACACAACATTTAGGTATTTTTAATTTATTAAATTCACACACATAAAAAATAAAAAATAAACAAATAACATGTCATAGTGATTAATGTATCTAGATTTATAAAAATGTATAAAAATTGAAAGCAAGTATATAATTTTTTTTTTTTTTTTTCTAAAAGCAAGTTTTATTTAAATTAAAAAAATAATAATTCTTGAATAAATCTAAATGTAAATTAGTCATCTAACAAGAGCAGCAGTATATAAAGGAGAATTTTTCAAATTGATATTCTATTCATGTATCTTTTTATAAAAACATAATATTTTAGAAATCGCTGTTCTTAAGAATCATTTTACAGTTCTAATCAATCTTAATATTAGTAATTTTAGGGACTGCCGATAAGATATTTGGAGTTGCAGAATCAAAAATCAAGTTGTCATACTTTTGGGTTTCCGATTTCTGCAGTTGTAAAACGATCAAAAGCAATCAAGGAACAATTTAAGTTTCAATTTCTGTTCTCGAATTTCAACTTCAGTGCCTAGCTGAGTACAGGGCTTTAGTCTTTTGGAATTCTGCGGAAGCCCCGATCCCATCTCGAGAAACGTTTCTTTGCTCGACGGAACTGATTAATCTGAGGTGGGTTTCATTTCAATTTTATGTTTTTCCATTTATCTCATAAATGTTCGATGGAATGTGTGTAAGAGTTGAAGTGTGACTTGCTTAAAGAAATCGTTTCAATTCTTGTTCCACTTTGTTTATGTTTCTATGTTTATTGTGGAAGTTTGATTTTTCTATGTTTATGGAGTTTCAGTGTAAAGGTCTGTGTATTAGCAATTTTTAATAATTAAAAAAAATAATGGTGTTTGGCCCAAGGAATGTGTACTGCTATGAGGGCGTAATTGAAGAGCTTAAGAGTGTTGGGGATTGATTTTCAAGGGTTTTAAAACGTATTTTAGCTTGCGAGTGGAGCTTAATCTTACAAAATGAAGGGATGTTTGGATAAAAGAAGGAAACTTGTGCTACTTAAGAGGAGATATTTCCTTGAATGTAGATGCTGTATACTTCGTATTGAATTTTGTTATGGAAAAAAACAAAATACTCTTGAAACATTTTAAAATGCATTTGGCTTTAGCTTTGGTTGTAAAGAAATGAGGTGGGCTGCTGAAGTTCTTGTGTTAAGTTTTATCAAATAAAATAAAAGAAGATTTGAAGGAGAAATAGGGTAATAGAGAGAGATTTTCTCTCCAAATTGTAAGAGGATGAGTAACTTGAAAAATATGCAGTATCGACTTCAAATTATTTATCCTGAATTCCTATCTTGAAGATATAACAGAAATAGATGTGACACTGGTCTTGTTATTTCTTTTGCCCCCTCGTCTTCGTTTCTGTGTTTCAATTTTTTTATGTAAATGAAGGCTTCAAGAAGTGATATAAAAGGGTTGATTTTATTTGATTTATATTTAAAATCTTGAGTGCAACCTTGCTGATTGTAGGCTGTGGTTCAACATGAAATTGCCTGTATGTGGTTTGTGGTTGTTCTGTTTACCATTGAGGCAGAAATGTTGACGCATGACTCAATAACTTTTTACGACCAAATTCAAATGTGGATTAGCCTATTCTTTTGTGTTTCTTCTAGTCAAGTTCTTATGTCATAAATTTATGTGTTCTGGTGGTTAATTTGATCCTTGGTATAACTGAGAAAGGAAAATTGAGGAAAAATGATTTTTGGTATGATCAAGAAAGGAAAATAGAGGAAAAATAAATACAAGTGTAAGTGATCATTATGGATTCAAATTATTAAAGCTCAAGTTTTAAAAGACCTTTTTTTAAATTCCTTTAATTTTGTGAAATATTGAGATAAATAAGCAGCCTTGCAGAAGCAAATGTCTAGTTTCTTCATATCAATTTTTTCAGCATTCATTTTCTTTATTTTCTTTTTTTATAAAGCTCACTTTCTCCTACATGTATTGCAGATGGATGAAGTTTCTCTCAACACTGAGCCAACAGGTGATGATGATATTGATGATTTTGAGGTTGTTGGGGATTATGCAATGACAGAATATGTAGGTCAAACTGGTACAATCCAAAATCCCCTGCCTTCTGCAGTTGGAATGGAGTTTGAAACGTAGGAGGATGTATATTACTTCTACAATTGCAATGCCAAAGAACAAGGATTTGGTGTCAGAGTTAGCAATACATGGTACAGAAAAAGTAAAGAAAAAATACGGAGGAAAACTTAGCTGCAATAGTGCAGGTTTCAAGAAGAAAAGTGAAGCAAATCGCCCAAGACCAGAAACAAGGACTGGTTGTCCAGCAATGATAAAGTTCAGGTTGATGGAAAATAAAAGGTGGAGAATTATTGAAGTCGAGCTTGAGCACAACCACTTGTTTAGCCCAGCAAGTGGAAAGTTTTATAAGTCACATAAGCACATAGGTCCTGGAACCGAAAGAACATTGCAGTTAGATGGTGCTGATGAGGTACAAAAAATTCGGCTTTTTCGAACTGTTATTATTGATGCTGAGGGAAATGGAAATGTAGATGTTAACGGAGAATTTGGGAATAATGTTGACCATGCCAATAAATTGAAGCTTAAACCAGGAGATGCCCAATCTGTTCATAATTTCTTTTGTCGCTTGCAGTTGATGGATCCTAACTTCTTTAATGTGGCAGATCTAAATGAAAAAGGATGCTTGAGGAATCTATTCTGGACTGATGCAAGGTCAAGAGTTGCATATAGGTATTTTGGTGATGTAGTTTCAATTGACACTACATGCTTGGCAGACAAATATGATGTGCCTCTGGTTTCATTTATTGGCATGAATCACCATGGACAATCAGTGTCACTGGGCTGTGGTTTACTTGCAGGTGAGACCATTGAATCTTATACATGGGCGTGGCTTGCATGCATGTTGCTGTTAGTGTTGCTGATGTTTTCCCAAGTGCTTATCTTGTTTTTCCTTATCGCATATCATGCAAAATGTTCCAAATAAGTTACAAGGATTGTTTGAATATGAAGCAATTAGAGTGGCCTTAGAGAGTGTCCTGAGGAATTTGAAACATCTTGGGAAGACATCAGCGGCAGACCCACATGGGGTCACATGGGGTCAAGTGACCCCATTTGGGTTTTATTTTTTATTTTTTTCAATTTTGCCCCATAACAAAACTAAATTATAAAATTACGGTAAACTAAATTAATTAAAAAATTTGACTTTCTCTAATAATATCTTTCCCCCTTTTTTCCCCAATCTCAACTTTTTCTCTTGCCCAGCGTGCTCCACTCCATCTCTCCAATCCCTATTTTCCTCTTCCCCAACCCCAGCGTGCCCCACCACTCAAATGAAGAATAGCCGCTGCTTTTAGAATCTCTTTTAAGAGTAAGAATATTTGTTGATTTCATTTTTTTACTTGATTCAATTATTGAGTTTTGTTTAATTAATTTCATTTTAAGTTCTCTAGAATGTTCTTTATAGTGTTGTGCTCATGGGTAATTTTGATTAGCTTTCACTATGTTTCTTCAAGCACATGTAGAATTTTATTTTTTTTCTGCATAAATGGTGAGGTTGTTGGCATGTTGCTGTAGTTTTGTGTTTGGCTGACTACTACTTTTTATCTTATAAGTGTATTTTAATTTATTGAGCTGTCAAGCAAAAGCAAGAAATGGGTTGTTGACTTGTTCTTGTATCAAGAAGACAAGAACTCTCGATAAAAAAAAAAATTAATCTTATTGGAAAAAAAAAAATTAATCTTATTGGAAAAAAAAAAATTAAAGTTTTTAGAATTAAATTTCTTTTGTTGTTTTGATTTATAACATTAGAATGAATTTATGCTATTTGAATTATATGTAACTTCAGATCATGAATATGAGATTAAAGAAAGATATACAATTGAAATTAAGGGGTTAATTAGTTGAATTTACATATAGTTTACCGACGGGTTTAATGGCTTGTAGATCAAGCATTTTTGTGAAATACTATTGATTTTAAGCTTTTGTTTAATTTCTTGCTGCAATTTAAGTTCATTTATTTAACTTTCATATTTAAAATTATTATAAATGTTAGTTTAATTTATACTGAATTATATACTGCATTTTTTTTAATCAAGTAATAATATATTGTTGTTTTGACATAGTATGAAGAGATATTTAAAAAAGAAGTCAACAATAATCTTATCATCTCAACAAGAGGAAAATATTGATGATTCAAGAAAAAATGTGGATGTTGGTTTGCGAGATCTTTCTATGGATCCAAGTTTACGTCCCTAAATTTTAGATTATGATCCTAATATTCAAGATCAAATTCGAAGAGTATGTTTGAAAAGTGGTCCTTGTCAACCTAAAGGCCATGAGTTTCCTTTTAGAGATTTTGATGGATTTTCAAGAAAATTTGTTGTTTCTTGGTTTGATGAATTTGATCAATAGTTGGAATATAGGATAGCGAAAGATGTAGGATTTTGTCTTTGTTGTTATCTTTTTAGGTTAGATGTTAGTGATAAAAGGGGTGGTGATCACTTTGTTGGTCAAGAGTTTTCAAATTGGAAAAAGAAAGAAAGATTGAATGTTCATGCGAGAAGTGTTGCTCATAATTAAGCTCAAAGAACGTATGAATCATTATTAAATCAAGACCAACACATTCATACCTTTTTTGATAGACACTCTTCTAAAGCACGAATTGAGTATCGAACACAGTCAATTGTGATGGTCTGAATGTGAATCAAGACCAACACATTCAAACATTTTTTTACAAACACTCTTTTAAAGCACGACTTGAGTATCAAACTCGTTTAAATGCTACACATTCAGACCAACACAATTAACTGTGTTCGGTACTCAATTCGTGCTTTAGAAGTGTGTCTATCAAAAAATGTCTAAATGTTTTGGTCTTGATTCAATAATTATTCACACATTCTTCGAGCTTGGTTATGAGCAGCACCTTTAGCATGAACATTCAATCTTTCTTTTTTTTTCCAATTTGAAAACTCTTGACCAACAAAGTGATCACCACCCCCTTTATCACCAACATTTAACCTAAAAAGATAACAACAAAGACAAAACCCCATTTATCACCAACATTTAACGTAGAAAGATAGCAACAAAGACAAAATCCTCCATCTTTTGTTATACTATATTCCAACCATTGATCAAATTCATTAAACCAAGAAATAAAAAATCTTCTTGAAAATCCACCAAAATCTCTAAAAGGAAACACATGGCCTTTAAGTTGACAAAGACTCTTTTTCAAATATACTCTTCGCATTTGATCTTGAATACTAGGATCATAATCTAAGATTCGGGGACGTAAACCTGGATTCATAGGAAGATCTCGCAAATCAACATTCACGTTTTTTCTTGAATCATCAATAGTTTTCTCTTGTTAAGATGATGAGATCATTGTTCACTTCCTTTTGAAATATTTTTCTATGCTATTTCAAAACAACAATATATTATTACTTGATTAAAAAAAAAATACAACAAATAAATTATAAGCCCGATATAAACTAAACTAACATTTATAATAATTTTAGACATGAAAGTTAAATAAATGAACTTAAATTATAGTATGAAATTAAATAAGAGTTCAATATCAATAGTATTTCACAAAAATGCTTGATCTACAAGCCATTAAACCTGTTGGTAAACTATATGTAAATTCAGCTAATTAATCCTTTAATTTCAATTATATGTCTTTGTTTAATCTTATATTCATGATTTGAAGTTATATATAGTTTGAATGGCATAAGTTCATGTTATAAATCAAAACAACAAAATAAATTTAATTCTAAAAGCTTTAAATTTTTATTTTTATTTTTTTGCTTCATCACTTTTTTTCTAATAAGATTATTTTTTCTTTATTGAGAGTTTTTGTCATCTTGATACAAGAACAAGAAGTCAACAACTCATTTCTTGCTCTTGCTTGGTATCTCAATAAATTAAAATACACTTAGAAGATAAAAAGTAGTAGCTAGCCAAGCACAAAACTACAGCAACATGCCAACAACCTCACCATTTATGCAGAAAAAAATTCTACATGTGCTTGAAGAAACATAGTGAAAGTCAATCAAAATTACCCATGAGCACAACACTATAAAGGATATTTTAGATAACTTAAATGAAATTAATTAAACAAAACTCAGTAATTGAATCAAGTAAAAAAAGGAAATCAACAAATATTCTTACTGTAAAAGAGATTCAGAAAACAGTGGCGATTCTTCAATTTTAATGGTGGGGCACGTTGAGGAAGAGAAAAATAGGGATTGGAATGGTGGAGCGGGATACGTTGGGCAAGAAAAAAAGTTGGGATGGAAAAAAAAAGGAAGAAAGATATTATTAGAGAAAGTCAAAAATTTTAATTTATTTAGTTTACTGTAATTTAGTTTTGCTATGAGGCAAAATTGAAAAAATTTTAAAAATAATAATAAAAAAACCCAAGTGGGGTCACTTGACCCCATGTGGGTCTGCCCCTGTTCCAAATACTGCAATATTTTCTTTCCCAAAGGTTGAAGCAAAGAGAACATGTAAGATTCAACCAATTTGCTGCAAAACTCATGCTGATTGTGAAAGAGATTGCCCAAGCAAAGAAGGATTTTGTTGTACAAATCCAAAAAGCACCCGCTGCCCAATAGGTGTTGTGCTTGTTTACAGAGCCAACGAGTTCTAATCTGACAAAATTATATGAGAGTAATACTACGTTCATAACTCAATCTTACAATCTTTCCTTACAATCCTAACGTGGTAGTTGAGTTGACAACTATCACGTCAACTCTCACCACACTCAAGACACTAAATGATTTTAATTAGACACGAACGATTGTTTTTTAAAGACGAATCGATCGTTCCTTCATAGGCAATGCCTGTTTTTTTATGAAGAAACAATCATTCATACATCAGGAATGATTGTACCATTCTTTATGAAATCATGTTATTCCTTATGAAGGAACAATCATTCCTTATGAATGGAACAATTATTCTTCATTAATGAACGATCATTCGTTTCTAAAGAACGATCGCTAGTCTCTAAGAAACAACTGTTCTGTTTAGTCAAAGTTGTCAGTTAACATAATAATACCAACTTTGCTGTCACTGAATTTGTAAAAGAAGGTTGTAAGATTGAATTTTAAACGTAGTATTTTTAAATTATGTAATCAACTTCATAATTATATAAATAAATAAACTTGATAAGTATTTGTAAGGCATGCAACTCCACTTGCTCAATTTGTTTTATCTAATAGATTATACATTCAACTTCATAATCGAGTTCGAAAGCGAGTAAATCCTGGCAAATGTAGTGCCTACATCGCGTCATCATGTTAGTTAGATCATACATTTAACAACATATTCAAGTTCAAAAGCATATAAATCATGGGAAAACGTCGGGTTCCTGATTGCTTTCGTCACAAAACTCAATTACACAACTCTTTGATCTTATGTGAATTGGTTGTAACTGTTGGTTGATCTCCTGCTTCACCAATTCTATCTCCGAGTCAACACAAAAGATTTTCACCCTCTCCAGCACGGTTGCATTCTCAAGCATGTATTTTAAGAACCATAGTTCCCTGACATCGTCCCCATCGATGTTTGAGATCATGACAGTTTTGAGGCGAGTATTGAAACATTGAGGTACAGCAGTTGATAACCGATCACTGTCAGGGTAAAAAACCTGCATGACAATCACAAATTGTTTAGGGAGGAGAAGGCTATTGATCTCATATAATTTAAGTTCTCCGGAAATCAAATTGCAACCACAACCTCTTAACTATATGTTTGGAATTCAAATAATTACCTCAGGAATCTCAAGAGATTCTATATTGGGTGATTTTTCGAGAAGGCACGTCAGTAATTGATCGCTTAGGTACTGAGACTCTCCAAAGTTCACCTTAAGATGAGTCAAGCTGGAAAAAGTAGGAAGGCCAGCTTGGAGATTTTCTTCCAAATAGAGACACTTGACACAACAGAATAAGAAATTAGTGTTAGAAAGGAATTGTGAGAAGTCTGTTTAAAAAAAAAGAAAAACAAAACAGTTATCATACCTCCATGGTATCAGTTGAAAGTGTGAGAGATTTAACATTATGAATTCTGCTAAGTAGGCTTATTGCACGCTTAGGAAATTCATCTTCCGTGTGTTCCAAATACGTAATATCAACATATGCATCAACATAAGCACTTTCTAGTGAAGTTAGGTTACACGGTAAGAGTCCAATTGCTAGACAACTTGTGTATCGAAGAGAGGTCAGATTTTCTGCATGAACTATGATAACACAATCAAGTAAACCATCTGGGGAGAAAGGGCCATTATAAATTGTCAATGCCCTCAGAGTAGGAATACAAAGGGTGATACTCTTGTTATGATCCCAGACACAATTGTCCAAAACCAACTCTTCGAGAACTGGACAACCAGAAAAAAACCTTTCAGTGGATCTGTCATCCGGAAATGTAACAGCAAGATGTAAGGTTTTAAGGTTTGATAAGCGTATCAAACAAGGAAACTTGAAGTATGAGCCCATCCTTAACTTCAATATGCTAATCGATTCAGAAGTGAAAAGACTATAGTGCAACACAAAGTGTTTTTTAACAGGTAGGAAAAGATCAAGCTCTTGAACATTATGACTTACTGCAGCAGATACCCATGAATTAATGCGTTCCACAATGATACGCGTTTTCAACACAAGATGAAATTTCCGTATATCTGAAGGATCATGCCGGAGAAGGACGTTATCCACAGAATCCAAGAAGCTAGTCTTCATGTCCAACCTTAGTTCGTGATTGTACTCATTAAAATCAATCTCGGAAACAGAAGTCCAGAGATATTTCCATCTTTTTGACAAAGCAGAAGTTCTCAAAACATCTTTGATTGGAAGGTGGGAAAGAATGTAAAGGAGGACATCCTCAGGCAATTTGCTGATTCTATCTTCACACCCAGATGCAACCAGTCCTAATGAAACCTTCCGGGTTTCTGAATCAGCAAGTGAAACGATCGCGTCCATGTTCACATTTTCCTACCTAAAAGAACGAATTTAAAATCTGCATAATAATGAAAAAGGAAACCAAGACTTCCATTATCATTTACCAAAATGATAAAAAACTAAAAAATGCTTAGAAAAAAGAAATTATTTAAAGAAACTATGATATTAAAAACCTATTTTCTTCTTTTCTTCTCATTTACAACAGTTAAAAAAAAAACCATTTTTAGATTTCACACATTCAACTAAGACAAATTTCCAAAAGTCATTTTACAAAATAATGGATAATAAACATGGAAATATGAAACTCCAAACTCTTTATCTACAACTTCTTTAAGTATTAAAATCATAATACAACAAATAATTATTAATAAAAAAGAGAAAAATAAATACCCACTAATCATTCAACTCAAATACATCAAAACCAAAGAACGTAATCAAATTTAGTGGCGGATCAAGTGTACCTGAGTGAAAGATGAACTGGGTTTAGGAGATTTGAAGCTACTTCACGCCATTTTTTCACTCTCTTCAGCTTCTTAGCTCACTTGTGTACTGGGTTATCACTGCCAGCAATAAATCTCTTTCAATTATGCATTTATTAGCGGCCGAACGACATCCTCCCACCCGAACTTTGCCCGACCCAATTTACTACAAGTTTGAAAACGACACTTTAACTACTTTCCGTGTGATAGTATAATCCTTTTGGAAAGATGGTATTATTGATATTCTTTATCCTTAAAGGGTAATTTTGACTTTTTATATTTTATAAAATCAATGATTTTTTTCTCCTATATATTTATTATTTTTTACGTCACTTTCTCTTTCTTTCCATCTCATCCCTTCATCCTATTCGCCTCTTCTCTTTCTCTTATCTTCTTCTCTCCCTTCCTTTCTTTTCTTTCTTCCCCGTCTCTCTACTTCTCTCCCTCCCTCTCCTTCCTCTTCCTCCCATCTTCTTCTTCCTCATCTCCCCCTCTTCCCATCTTCTCATCCGCCCAATTCTCACCCGAATGGTGCGATTCCTACCGAATCGAACCTAACAACCCGCCACCATTTCCTCTATCCCTCTCCCTTCTGTTGTTTAAATGTGAAGTAAATCTTAATTTGTATTTTAATTTTAGTTGAGGGATGATTTGAGGATTTTTAAGTTGGGAGGTGATTATGTTGTTCTTGAAACTTTTTTTTTCCGAGCCAACTTGGTTCTGGCCCTGGTGGAGGTGTGGACGTGGATATGTTTGCTGTTGCAATGGATTCTAGAATTTTTTAATTAAAATTAATTGTAAAGATAAAATAATGAAAATTGAAATGAGAGAGTTATTATAAAATCAATATTAAAGAACGAGACGTGGTATTATATTTTTTGGATGCATCAAAGTTCAAAGATCATCATCGTATCCTTTTTCTAAGCGGATTTTACTAATAGATTAGGATGAAAAGTGGGTAATTGTCGTTTTCAAATGTTAGGGTCAAGTTCGAGTGAAAGGTGTTAAGCAATCTAAAGAAATAATAAAAAGAGGTGGCTAGGGTTTCATTGATACTGCACAATTCAATTGAATACAAAAAAAATATGATTTAACCTAAATACAAAGATATATATAGGCTAAACAAAGGAAATAATGAAAAGACAAATATACCATTAATAAACAATAAAACAAAATAACTCATATTTCTTAACATCTCCCCTCAAACTCACGATGCTGCGGCTACAAGCATTGAGAGTTTGCCAACTAGAAAATGAAAACGGGAAATAGAATGCGACTTGGTAAAGAAATCTGCAAAGAAGAAGAAACAAAGGGCAAGGTAATGGTGCCATGCTTGAGATGATGACGAGTAAGGTGACAATCGATCTCAATGTGCTTAGTTCGTTCATGCAAAACCGAGTTGTGAGCAATCTGAATAGAACTCTGGTTGTCACAATACATAGGAGTGGGATGAGAAAGAGAAACGCCCATATCTGCAAGTAACCAACGTAACCAAACAATCTCTTTGGTAGTAGATGTCATAGCACGATATTCTGCTTCGGTTGAAGATTGAGAAACAATGGATTGTTTCTTGCTCTTCCAAGAAATAAGAGAATCACCCAAAAAGATACAGAAACCAGTAACAGAATTGCGATCCATGGGATCACTGCCATGATCAGCATCAGAGTATGCACGCAACTCCAAGGAAGAGGTGGATGGAAGTAAAAGACTTTGAAAGACTGTACCCGAAGATATCACAAAATACGAAGAACAGTTGCCCAATGAACTGTAGTAGGAGAAGCAACAAACTGACTAACAACATGAACAGCATATGCAATATCTGGACGAGTAATAGTGAGATANAAGTGTTCTTTTCACATTCTATTGAATTGAAAAAGATAATTAATAATAATTAATAATTAATAAAAAATGACTAAATATTAAATAAACATTACGGAATATAATTTCTTACTCAAACGTTTACAATATCAAAAGATTCACTAAGCGATCGCTAATAAGTTATTAACCGATATATTAAGAGTTAGATAGATTTTAAAAAACATTTGCAAAGTCGCTTAAGCGATCTGGTGTATCACTTAAGCGATCTGGTATAAATAAGCCTGATCACTTAAGCGATCTACTGCCATATACCCGATCGCTTAAGCGATCTGCTACCATATGCCAGACTTTTACCAGATCGCTTAAGCGATCTGCTACTATATACCAGACTTATACCAGATCGCTTAAGCGATCCATTAGCTCCAAAATACATTTTTAGTCATCTTCACCTATAATCGATGCTAGCACCCCCAGCTACGCACAATACAAGAAAATCATCAACAAATCTCACTCCTTTTAACTTGCATTACATCAAACACAACCCAAGAACCTAAACCACTAAATCAAAATCATAACCCAAACTTAATCCATCATTAAATCTTTTATAAATAGAAATATAAAATGCAAAGAGGAGATATACATCCCTAGACGAAATGTTAGGAGTAGGAAGAGGCAGATCTTTGGCGAAGAAGATGTTAATGGTAGAGGAAGAAGAAGGTGTTAATGGCGGAAGAAGAAGAAAGTGTTAATGGCGGAGGAAGAAGAAAGTGTTAATGGCGGAGGAAGAAGAAGATACAGAAGAAAAAGAAGATGTAGACAAAGCTTAGAAGAAACAACAACAAGGGGAAGGATGCGTTAATGGCGGGAGGAAGAAGAAAAAGGTGTTTGGGTTTGTTTGCAAGATTTTTGACTCTTTGGAGACTTATTATAATTTTTAAAAGATTACACAATTATTCATTGATCCTAATTAACCCCCTAATTATGTTTAATTAAGCTTAATAAAAAACAAGGCCATTTAGTTAAAATTTACAAACTCTATAACCTTTTAATTAAATTTTAAGTTAAAATGGTGTTTTAATAAAATGCCCCAGTTTGAAAACGACACTTTAACTACTTTCCGTGTGATAGTATAATCCTTTTAAAAAGATGGTATTATTGATATTCTTTCATCCTTAAAGGGTAATTTTTACTTTTTATATTTTATAAAATCAATGATTTTTTTCTCCCATATATTTATTATTTTTTACTTCACTTTCTCTTTCTTTCCATCTCATCCCTTCATCTTATTCGCCTCTTCTCTTTCTCTTATCTTCTTCTTCTCTCCCTTCCTTTCTTTTCTTTCTTCTCCCTTTCTCTCTACTTCTCTCTCTCCCTCTCCTTCCTCTTCCTCCCATCTTCTTCTTCCTCATCTCCCCTTCTTCCCATCTTCTCATCCACCCAATTCTCACCCTAATGGTGCGATTCCTACCGAATCGAACCTAACAACCCGCCACCATTTCCTCTCTCCCTCTCCCTTCTATTGTTTAAATGTGAAGTAAATTTTAATTTGTATTTTAATTTTAGTTGAGGGATGATTTGAGTATTTTTAAGTTAGGAGGTGATTATGTTGTTCTTGAAACTTTTTTTTTCCGAGCCAACTTGGTTCTGGCCCTGGTGGAGGTGTGGACGTGGATATGTTTGCTGTTGCAATGGATTCTGGAATTTTTTAATTAAAATTAATTGTAAAGATAAAATAATGAAAATTGAAATGAGAGAGTTATTATAAAATCAATATTAAAGAACGAGACGTGGTATTATATTTTTTGGATGCATCAAAGTTCAAAGATCATCATCGTATCCTTTTTCTAAGCGGATTTTACTAATAGATTAGGATGAAAAGTGGGTAATTGTCGTTTTCAAATGTTAGGGTCAAGTTCGAGTGAAAGGTGTTAAGCAATCTAAAGAAATAATAAAAAGAGGTGGCTAGGGTTTCATTGATACTGCACAATTCAATTGAATACAAAAAAAATATGATTTAACCTAAATACAAAGATATATATAGGCTAAACAAAGGAAATAATGAAAAGACAAATATACCATTAATAAACAATAAAACAAAATAACTCATATTTCTTAACATCTCCCCTCAAACTCACGATGCTGCGGCTACAAGCATTGAGAGTTTGCCAACTAGAAAATGAAAACGGGAAATAGAATGCGACTTGGTAAAGAAATCTGCAAAGAAGAAGAAACAAAGGGCAAGGTAATGGTGCCATGCTTGAGATGATGACGAGTAAGGTGACAATCGATCTCAATGTGCTTAGTTCGTTCATGCAAAACCGAGTTGTGAGCAATCTGAATAGAACTCTGGTTGTCACAATACATAGGAGTGGGATGAGAAAGAGAAACGCCCATATCTGCAAGTAACCAACGTAACCAAACAATCTCTTTGGTAGTAGATGTCATAGCACGATATTCTGCTTCGGTTGAAGATTGAGAAACAATGGATTGTTTCTTGCTCTTCCAAGAAATAAGAGAATCACCCAAAAAGATACAGAAACCAGTAACAGAATTGCGATCCATGGGATCACTGCCATGATCAGCATCAGAGTATGCACGCAACTCCAAGGAAGAGGTGGATGGAAGTAAAAGACTTTGAAAGACTGTACCCGAAGATATCACAAAATACGAAGAACAGTTGCCCAATGAACTGTAGTAGGAGAAGCAACAAACTGACTAACAACATGAACAGCATATGCAATATCTGGACGAGTAATAGTGAGATATACCAAACTCCCAACAACAGTACGGTATAAAGTAGGATCTGATAAAGGTAAACCATCAGAGAAAGAATACTTTGCGTTAACTCAATTGGAGTATCGACGGTTAATCAGTAAGTCTAGCCCGCTCCAAGAATATCTACAACATATTTTGACTGAGAAAGAAGATAACCTCTAGGTGAGTAGGCTACCTCAATACCAAAGAATATCGTAGAGAACCCAAATCCTTCATTTCAAACTGTTGAGCTAACTTGTCTTTAAAACTGAAATACCATCAATATCATCACAGTAATAATCAGTCATCAAACTATAAAGACAGAATGATATGACCGCATCAGTGCATTAACAAAAAGAGCAGAATCATGACTACTAGAAGCAAACCAAGGGAAGAGATCACAATAGAAAATTTCTCAAACCAAGCACGAGGGGCTTGTTAAGACTATATAACGCTTTCTTCACGCTTGCAAACATACCCATAATCATGTGAAACACCAGGAGGGGCGCCATATAAACTTTTCTTGAAGATCTCCATTCAAGAAGGCATTTTTAACATCAAGTTGACAGATATGCCACT